TTTATCGGATTAGAAGTACACATTTTCTGGTCAGACACTAATTGGTTGAGTAAGTATTACTAAGTATATTTTATTATGTTAAGCTGGAAAATCCAGTTACCAGTGAGCTCTATGCCCTGAAGATGGTTACCAATCTGTTCAAATTTTATGATATAGTCCAGACAATACGTACTTGCTCAGCATAGTTACGTTTAACAGAGGAAAGAAGAGAAAGAACGAATGAACCATGATGCGTCCATGCTCTCCAGTTTCACTGTAACTTTTGAGAGTTTTGATAAATTATTCGACGCTTGATAGTCAGCTTACAATGGTAAAATGGTGATGGAGACTACTTGTAATTTTATTGATAATTTGTGTGACTCCACTGACTATATAGCAGTGTTTCACTTAAATTAACACAAATTAGACTAGATATTAGCACCTAAATTACCGAAGTCATTAAGATGCGAACTTCCCGTAAAAGTGTGAAAGCCATGTAGGAACTGGTTGGGGGATAATGCGCAATCATCGCTTGAACACTAAGCGTTTGAATATTTAAGAGCTTTAAAAAGATTTGTAAGTCTTACAGAGTGATAATACTCTAATAAATGTAATCAATCGAGCTGACTTTAAGGCAAATCATTCCAATAATTTACTAGCATCTGGCCATTAAAGTGACATTTATCTATTCCAGTCAGGTTGATATTGACAAAACAGGTAAAGAAACTGATACATAATGAATATCTTGTCATCCGATCAAGACAAATTTACTCAAGTTAGTATGTAGTGATTCATGAAAATCTTGTGCTTTTAAGTCATGTTTGTGTTGAACAGCTGAGTGAAGCGTGAATATAACCGTAGTAAACATGTATGAGATTTTTGTCCACTCGAGAGGAAAGCAGGATTATATATCTTGCTCAAAAGATTTGGTTTAGTATCTGACACTAGACAAACTGTTGATTTTGAATATTGAAAGGTACTATAGAGGTTAGGCGTAACAATTAGCCAGTCCTAAGGTTCAGTGAACGATATATGAGTGTGTCGAAATATGGTCTAGTTCAATGCCAGTACATTTGTCTTTACTACTATAGTAATAGACTGTTATATCTTGAATGTTGATTTCTTTGATATGCCGCGTATAACAGAGCGCTAGAACACCAAAACCCTTCCAAGTCGCAATAAGAAGACACAAGACTAATGAAAGGAATATTATTCCAAACAGTGTCAATTATAGTAAAAAATTGTCAGGTATCTGTGGTTTTTAGTAAGAACGAAATCATCATTACAGTCCTCCAATCCGCATACAGGGGGCTATTAGCATTGTCCAGTCGGGAAGCTACATGTAGGAATTCCAGAATATTCTTCCGAAAGGTGATTAGATGGAACATCTTCGGCTCTTTCTGAGCCTCTTACAGCTTCCTAGAGTTCACCCGTGGTCCGTCGTCACTTAGCCTTAATCCCAAAGTCTAAGATTTGTCAGTGTGAATACCTGATCCATAAGATTTTACTTGGAAGTCACATCACAGTCTACACTGAGTCGTCCTATCGTGACGCTTGTCAATATGACGTATAGCACTTTTGCGGAACGTATTTGGGCTGAGAAGAGAGTAATATATTCGATGAAAATACAAGAGGTCATGAAGAGTTACTGCGTCTGCATGGCCGAGCAATGCCGTTTCGATTCCTTGTTGTCGCGTTCATCGTCTGGTAATTATACACTTAGCTTCGGAGGTCGTGTGGTTGAGAACCAACACAACTACGCAGCTCGCATATCAGAATTAACGTGAAGTTGGTCCGATACGACATCGAACGGCGTTGTTGTGAGCCGGAAGTTACCAAATGTATAATACGAATCCTCTGGGCATCGATAAAAATGAAGGATAAATCAAAAAGAAGGCGGCAGCAACTGATCAAGAAATATTTGCAGTGGCTTTAAAAACGTTCGGTTCCGTTCTTAACACTCTGAAAACAAAAATCCATTTACTTAGATTTTTGCGGCCAACTCTTAACCGATCAACCTAGGTTGTTATAGATCCAGTGAAAAATGTTCAGGGTGGTTAAAATATATTTTAAATTCGAATGGCACAAAGAAAATACAATGCAACACATATTCAAGCCAGGTCAACATATATGTCGATGAGAAATATAGCAGGTGGAGAAACTCGGCAGAAAAAAATTTAAAGGTCAGAGCATGACTTATGGTACTGCAGTTAGGAGCATGATGTGTATGATATATAATTTTCATAAGCAGTTGCTGTAGTTACCTTATTAACATTCTTAGATATGTAGTAATGGTAATCAGAACTAACAAGTGTCAAATCAATGTTGAATCTAATATGGTTCCCCTGAAAACAACACACTTTCTCGTAGCAGTATGTTGTCATTTAGAGCAGTTATATATGTTTTATACTAGGAACGATCTTAGGACTGGTTCATATGTAATATATATAGCTAGTCTAGATTTGAAATTATCTACATGTTAAGAAGTATCAGAAACATGTTAGATCATCCAGAATACTTAAACTTACCTAGACTATTTTCGAAAGTAAGATTATCCAATAGATTTGACGTATAAGAAGTCATCCATGACTAATGATACAGACCCAAAAGGAACTACATTAAACTGGCAGTACTGCGACCAATTCCTGGGTGTGAATGATGAATGACTTTGTCACTCAGTTGATTCGATAAAAATCCAGAGTCCCAATAAATACATGGCTCTCACCATACGAATAATCAGAAACGAGCTCAAGATTGTAAAAACTATGTAGTCTGAACTCACTCTAAGTTCCTAAGATATTGTCTGCGTTTTTTAGAAGTGGAGTTCGAAAAGTATAAATTAGTCGAAAGGAAAGATATTAGGGGATAGTCCATAGTTTATGGTGGAGTGAAATCTTAGGTGGGTAAACAAGATAAAGAATTGGATCATGATAACTACTCAACCCTTGCTCGCATTAATTGTCAGACCGTGTGTATTTATGTGGATTAAGAGCCATATTTGCTAGCTGTTGTTTTAACAAGTCTATTTTACTGAAACACGTAAATGCTACTAAGGCTTGTTAACGAACCATCATAGCTAGACATAAATATGGACAGTCAGTCGCTAGTATCAATCGGGCTAGTAAGCTGAGTACTAATCAGTATTATAATATGATAATACACGCTAGCACTAATCGAAGGAATAATAGAAAAATGGGTTAACATAAGCAAAATTCAGTCGATAACGTTAAAGTGAATGATAAATAAATTAATAGTAGGTATGCCACAGTTTAGGTTGATTGGTTAAAAGTTGACCCCAAACAACTAAGCATATGTCAAAACAGTTAAGTTCAAGCATTCATTCACTTCCTCATTCTGTATAGGCGTTATATTTCCCATAATCTTATTTTGAGTGTAGAGAGGCTTTGTTGGTCTGACAATGAGTTACAAAACGTCAAAATATTTATTTTCCTACTCTTTAGAATACCACGAATATATTAATTTATTTATAACCATCTACCCAATGCTTAATTTATTCGAGATTATCAAGTCAAACCTTAGTAATGATAACTACTTTAAAGTGAGTGAGTTAAAAATTACCAGCTTAGGATTTGTTAATGCAAGCTGTTACATTTACGACGCTCGAAAACCATATTCGTTCTAAGCACTTTACAGCATTCCAAATCTCTAACTCCAGTGGCAAAACAGACACAGTGTGAAATCTGCATGATCTATTGTCTTTTTAAAATCAAACATCCAACAACTGTCTTAAAGAAATTAGATATTACCAAACAGGGGTATGACTTTCAAGATGATAAAATAAATGTGTGAATGTAATCGTCTAGGTTTTTCTAACCATTCGTTTAGTTTATGTTTCTATTTGGTATGAAGTGACATTGCGTCACCCAGTTAATATAGTGTGGAAATCAGAGGTAATTGAATTCTTTATGCTAACACTAAACATTCAGAACTGTTCAATTCCTGGTAGTAGTAGTAGTCAAGTATGAACCAGTATTCAAGTCTGAATGAACTCTGTGGGGAGAATCAAGAATAATGTATTTGCAACTCAAACTAGCTACGGAATAAATCACAAACACCACATATTGGCACAAGTAATCATTTTTAAGGATGTGAATAGTCAGGACCTACGTGAATGAGTTGTTGGCCTGACAACTACTGCTAGTAAAGCTCCCAACTTCGGATTAATGGAGAGGACAGGCTTGGATTAAAAATTGTCTGTAGAAGCTAGATAGTAAGAATAAAAGGTGAGCTCACTGAAAGAACTGCTTCGGGAAGTGTTGGATAGGTAAGTATCATACTTGGTTCTCTGCTATTCCTACTGTTTACTAATAAATTACCCAAACTGTCTAGATTTTTATCATTCCTATATGAAGATGATATACAAGTTTGGAGGGTAGTTTGCAGTGATAGTGGTGGACTGAAGAGATGCAGACGTATCGGATGAATGGTCACAAACTCGGTCCTTGATGAAAAACTGGAGCACAATTGCATTTTTGTCGAGTAAACACAACGATACCCATCAGAACACTGTCGATGAGATACAATGCCACAAGTTTAAAAAAATTATTTCACCTTAATTGTGAGATGTCACTTGAAATCGATCGCAAGCTGCGTCATAGTGGCTGAAAAAATATCTGAAAAGTTATGGTCGCTTTTTGGGGCTTTAGGTGCATTTATGAAGAAATGTTTCGAATATTACATCCTACCTATGTTGGACAATTTCGAATAGTGGATTCATGTATCTTGCTTCCGTCATATAAAGATAGACGCTCTCAAGAATGATGAGAGAATATATAACAGGCTTTTAAAACCGTCATATTTTTCATATGATGAGCGAATAAGGTGATTACTTAATCTGAGCTTAGTTTCGTAGAATGGGAGAGGATCCCATATTGGCATTCCACCCCACCTGAACGTGTTATCAGTTCATCCAATGAAAGAGCTAAAAAATGAACAAATGCATAAAACGGAAAAACCTATTACTTTTTATATGTAAGGCTAAATGGGTAATTATTGGGCAATTGAACTTGTGAAGCCAGCCTTGTGGCGCGGGGTTACCAAAACTTTCGAGTTCGTCATCATTTTGTAGGAATGCTATATTAGTAGCAAACAGGTAGTTTTTTAAGACGTGTTCAACAAGGGTAGTCTATTTTGGTCTTCTGGGTCATTTACACACGTCAATGAACAAACCTATATATAGGTTTAAAAAAGTTCGCAAAACTAACAATATATATTGTTATTCTATTAATTATTTACATCTATTACTCCTTGTAAAGAAACGTAGGTCTCTCACCAGGATCCCTCATCGATCTGTGTCTTTTTAAATCTTCCATAGTTGTTTCCAGTCACTATTCATTGTTTTGATGTCTGCTTCCAGTTCCCGACGTCGGGATGTAGCTTGATGGTTTCTGCAATGTATATCATACTCACCTTCAGCGTTATCCCCTAGTTTCCTCTCCATCTGGAAGCTGGTCTGTTCTGTCCCATAGTAGATTGTTGCTGACGGTATCTGGCCAACGGACACTGAGTATCATGCTCAGAAAATTGTTTATAAATGCTTGTACATTTTTGATGATGGTCGTGGTAGTTCTTCAAGTTCTAGCTCCTCACAGTAGAACTGTCTTGAATTTCGTATTGAAGACTCTGACTTTGATATTGGTTGACAATTGCTTCGAGCTCCATATGTTCTTTAATTGTAGGAATGCGGCCCTTGCTTTGCCAATCCTCACCTTTACGTTTGCATCGGATCTTCCTTGTTCATCGATGATGATATCTAGGTACGTGAAAGATTCGACGTCTTCCGGAGTTTCTCCATCAAGCGTGACTGTGTCGTTCTCCGTGTTATATTTAAGGATCTTAGTTTATCCCTTGTGTATGTTAAAACATACTGCTTCAGAGGCTCCTGATACACTGTCTTACTCCTCCTGTGTTTGTTGCTGTGTATGGGATAAATGAGCTAGTCCATCTGCGAAGCCCGAATCCCCTTGCTGCGTCCAAGCTATCCATTGTATTCGGTGCTTCCCCTAATATGTGGTGGTCTCCATAATCCAGTCGACCCTTAGAAGAAAGAGAAAGGAAGAGAGTAAGCAGCCTTATCTGACACTAATCTTCATTTTGAATGCATCTATCAGAGTTTGTAGGGGAATATAGTGTCACCTACAAACTTTTTTTCGAATGCACATGAATTTGCGAATTTCTCCGTTCTCGTTCCTCTTTCTCAGTCCATATCATTTCATCATATCTTCAAATCCGGTGTTGTTCATTCCGACTTTAGCGTTTAGGCCTCCCATCAGGATGTTCTTGTTCTTTCCTAGTCACTTCTCTACTGTCGACTGCAGCCTCACTTAACTAACCTTTATCGTCTTCATTGCTATCAGTGATGGGTGTATAGCTCTGGATAACATCTATTGTGATCCCTTCCTTCTCTGTTTTGAAGGATGATTTGGTGATCCTGGATCCATGAGATTCCCATCCTATAAATGCTTTACGTGCTTCTTTGGACGGCGTTAGAGAAACTTCCTTCATGCGCTAAGCATTTTCTTCATGACCATAGCACGACAGCATCTCCTGAATATAATGTTTTCTATCTAGCTTGGGTCCGATGGGTTCCACTTATCCCTATCACTGCCCAGTTGTATCCTCATTTCCGTAGCCATTTGATTGGTCCCCCTGGTCTCCCATATTGTCCGGGGATTTCATGTGCCTATATTTATTGTTGCTCTGGTTGTTAGAAAACGCATCGACCCCTTTACTTATAAAGAATCCCAGCTTTCATTGCGACACATCATACTTCTAAATTAAGATCCCTAAACCCACATGGCAGAGCTTGGATGGTTTAAATTTTTTTTGGTTACCTTTTTTAGCAAGGTTGTATTCTACGGGATGGGGTTGCTGACCCCTTTCCCATCGACCTGGGCTTCGGACCAGGAGTAACCCTACAAGGGCTACGAGTTGAGTTTTTGCGATTCTATACCTTTCCACAATCGACTTTACTCCAACCACCAGCATATTTTTGATTTTCCTCGTTTCACCGTCATTATGTTGAACGGAGATCGACTTGGATCTCGTGAAAACTGAACAATTTACCTCTAAAATCACTATATACCATGGGAAGCTAGGAACATCGGCTTTCTAGGTTCTAAGAGGACTAATCAAATAGGTTGATCTTATTTACCAAATAAGGACAAAAAATGACTTCAAGTTTTCTATACTAATGCCGATTGTTTGACTAACCAGTAATAGATCTTGACAACATCCTAATACGTTTAATATTCTACAGTACAAGTATGTAGTCAGTCGGTCAGTAGATTACTAAAAACTATTTCTTTTATAGATAATAAATTAGCAGTTATCATCTGACAGGCTACACAGAAACAATTCCATTTCTACAATCTGTTATTTTGGTCATTTTATACTTTGGCATGTCGATGTCTAACGGAGATTATGTTCGGATACCACTTTCTGGGAGTTTTGAAGATCAAGTGGACCAAGAACTTCAAGGGACTTTAGAACATAATGTAAGAAGCCAGTTGTACACCAGTTTACTTTAGATTAACATTGAAAGTCCAAAAACGGAATCAAGCCTGGGTCCTTTCAGCTTTAAGTTCTACCAACAGTACTTCGATGTTGATACAAGTCAGGTAAGTACTACTGCGTATACAAAAAACTTTTGTGATCTTGCTTACTTATTCATGTGAGGTATTGTGATTGATAACAGCTTCTAAATCAGTTTTCGTGTTTAAATGGGCTTTTTAGTCTCAGTACCAATAAAGTCTGAGACGGAGTTCATAAATAAAAAGTGCTAAAGATCATTTATGATAGTTTGAAATGCATTTGAACACTTAGGATAATTTGAATGTGTACTAAATTTACTAGCCTCGGTTACTAGAGCGTTTTAAGTATACAAACCATTTTGTTCACTAACACATTGTGGTATCACATCCTGTAAAATGAATGTGCGTAAAGCGATTTCTTAAACCGATATATAGCCGGCGACTAGTACATTGGACAGCTGTGCGTTCATTATTTAAAATATATTGAGCAATGATATATAGGATGAGTTATCAAAACACTACATAAAGTTATTTCTGTGGAAAATTTTTATCTATAACCTGATAATTAGCATGTTGACTCAAGCTTATTAAGTGTTAGCTGTGAGATGTGATATGATCTATGAACCACAATATAGTCCAGTGGTCATTATCAGTCTGTTTAAATGTTCATTCAGGAATCACGCATTTGGCGAGAAAATGTTATAAGAATGTGTCATGTCCCGATTGCTTTTGTCCATATTTTTCGCTTGCCCACATAACGCTGAGAAGTGTAATACATTTCCTATAACACCTTGTGTTCAGGCAAGCTATTAAGTCATTGCTTGAGAGTGAAAGTAATCATTTCTATCCTTATTTTAACGCTGCATACGAGTAAAATTTTGTTGCTAAAACCTTTATCATAGTCATTTACATCATTATGTAGGTTCTGCATCGTCTTGCCTCTGCATTCATACCTAATCCGCGTATAAATTTCATTCAACATTCTCTAAAACCTCGAGCTGATCTCTATGGTCCATTTTGGATTTCAACTACGTTGATGTTAACTGCTGCCATCGGGGGGAATATATCCAACTATTTGCAGTCACGTCGTGAGGTATCTTCATGGCATTATGATTTTCAGAAAGGTGTGTTTCATTTTACGCACTGTTGCATTCAATTTGAAATTTTCAACATTTATGATTCATTTAAGTAGCAAACAGTTGATCATTTATTACCCATGATTTTTGTTTATGTAGTTTCTTAAAAGAGCTACCAAACGCTCAGGAAACCAGTCTTTTTAAAAGTAGATCCTACCAATCTGTCTGATAAGAAAAAGTTTAAATTTCATCAACATATATTCACATTATCACAAAGAATTTAATTCGATTAGTTTAAGTGAGTAGGATTTACTCAGGGTCGTAATAGTATTGCGTGTTTTAGGTTGTAAGCTCACTTTGAAAAAAGGAAGTTTTTTCAGGAGGCATTTTGTTTAGTACCTGAAAGTATTGTAATAAAGCACTGCTGAGGAGTCCCATACTATGACGAAACGGCTGTCCAGTACTTCCAGGTTTCCAACGGTGGTCTAACATCAATTAATTCATGATCTCAACCAAAAACTTAACAATCTCCACAACCCCCATACTGACAATTGAAATTAGTTAGCATAATGATTTCATAATTTCAACCAGTTTATTATAAGCCGTTCTTAAGCTTCATGTTTACTTGTGTAAAGTTCCATTAACCCTGCAGTAATGTCTCAAAGTCAAATGATTTAATAGTGATAGTTTTTCTTTAATAATTATTCCCTAGCGTCATTTAAAGGACTACATACTACCCCTTTACATGTTACGTTTCTCAATTCTTCTAGAATGGTCAGTAGATTTACAGCATGTTTGCGTATATTGTTCTTATAGGTAATGAATACGTAAAGTTTTCTATTTGATGGATTACTACTTCACGATTTTCAGGTTTACTATTTTTAAGCTTTTACCCGCTATTCTTAATTAAAGTGGACTCGCAATCATTTGTTTGATGAATGCATACATCAAGTGCACGTTTATTCACTCAACTTTGATCCACAGTCAGTCAGTCAGCGGCAGCGTAGAACTTCGTACGTACGTACATCAGTACGAGTTGCTATACCACATCAGCACAGAGATACAATTGTCGATTCGAATCCCGTAGTGGTAGAGGTAGGATCTGTAATACTACAATCAAATCAGGTGAAGCGGGTTTGGGCACAAAATATACTGGTTCAGGGACAAGTATTTTAACCTAAAGACCACCAGTTCTCAATCCCTGCATCTTCCTCTATCAGTTGTTATAGTGGTGTCACGAGATAGATCTTCGGTTTCAAAACTAGTATCTATAATATGGTGTCCACATCGACTACTAACGTTTGCATTTATAGCTAATCAAAAGACTAGTTAGTCACTCACCCTTTTTGATTTTACTGAGTATTAATTATCCACTTTTTAATTTCGTAGTTACGCTGACATCAACTATCATTTATGTGTATTGGTGGCTAACACCATTGCTTTTGCATGCAGTTATGCACATTCATCGTAAAAACAAGAAACCCCAGTCAAACGATGCTGAAAGCGATCTCACTGACCTATTGGAACGTTCCGACACTGATTCATCATCATTTCACAATGCGAAAAATGCAAATAAATTCTTCGATGTTCTGTCGACCTATGGTTATTCATTAGCAGTTTTCGTTCCTGTTGCAGTGAGTTATGCTGGTTACATTAGTGGTTTTAGTAATTGTAAATGACTTGTTTATTAATAATTTAGGTTATCCTGTGGATGTTTTTGTTGTCTGTCTAGCTGTAATGCATGTTCCTTAATGTTTACTCACTTTGAGTACCCTTGTTTACATTTTTCATAATAATAGCCGTAAACATTTCAGTGTAGGGATACATTTATCGTGTGATAGTTAAGTCATAATTTATAATCAATTAAATGCTTATGTTGGGGTGTATAAGACACAACAACAAATACTGTGGTCTTTTTACCTCAACATATTACATGACAGTACCCTGTAACTGACATCGTTTGTTATTGATTGTTCTACCTTGTAAAATACTGTTTATACTGTGGTACCCATGTATTCCATTTTTTCCTTGAAAGATGAGAGCTGTCATTCACAGTTCTGTCTTCTCCCTTATTACTTAGATGCATTCGTCATCTTCAAATTATCTTCATGCTGTAGTCATCTGACATCTAATCATGTTTGATCCCTGTCCATATTAAAGACGTCGTACCTCGATATATTTAGTTGCTCAAACTGTGAGTTACAACAGTTTGCACAGGAAGTCATTAATTTGTGTAGTCAGAAATTCGTAGTTGGAAATAGATTAATATTGTTCCCCACTATAAGATCGTTTACACGACAGGATATCCGAAGCCTGTAGTTCCTATCTTCTCTATCAACTCATAGTAATAATTCTGTTTATCATGTGTAAAAGCTCAAAATATGGGTAATGGCTTGTTAGATTGTGTCTTGATATTATTATGCTTATGTTCCTTTCATTGATTCACTACTGTATTGCTATCTGTCTTCTATTTGATCTTCTGATATATTGTCTAGTTACTGGTATTAGTTTAGTTATGTTTATGGGTTTCCTAATATGATTACTGAACTATGTGGTTTAATATTTTTGGTGCACTATTTTGTATCAGATTACAAAGTGCATCTAACAATTCAGCATATACTATTTGTTTCTAAATCAACCTATTTCTTTTGGATAAACAGCTATGATTCTGCATTACAAATACTAAACAGTTTCACTTAGTATCAACGTGTGCGTCTCTTCTGAAACTGTGATCTGGTTATCACATTATAATGAACTATGTTTGTCCCAGATAGTCATAATAAGCTACTTAGAACGTGATTGTGTAATCAAACTGAGTGTTTAATATTAAACTTGTAGAAAACTCAACTGAAAGTGGTGGTATCAGTTCAAGTAATCTTGGTTTCATTGTTGGGTATATTTCTCCTCAAATATGAAATAACATCCGATGTCTAATCCGGTTACACTTAAATTTAATTACAAATAATAATCATGTTGGTTAATCTTTAACTCGATTCCGCTACTATAGGGCCTTCCTTCTCTTGTTCAACCTAACTAGATGTAAGAAAACCACTTGGTTGCAGGCTGATGAGAGTAGACTATTCTAAAGTAGAGTATGTAGGAGGTGATTTTGACGAGGTGAATAATTAGGTAGTAGTATTGTCAAGTTAATAACGAAGGCCTTTTGTTATGGTTGTTCACGAACGCTAAATAATAGCTCACATCGGGTTGTTTTTTGATGTGGTCGTTCGTATTACAGTAAACATAGATCGTGTTACCATTGGTTTCACTTATACATTGTCTCTTTTTTGGAGCATACCCTAAGACTCTGACCATACCCTGATTAGGGTCGTTTGTTTGAAAGTAGATCTGTTGTTCATTGGTCCAAATGTTCAACTTTCAGGTACTGGATCACAGAGTGAAATATCGCTTTACTGATTCACATTAACTGTAATGCGTGATAGTGAGGTCCAACGTAAGTTATATTTTCATCTCAAAAATGAAGACTTGATCTTTTGCACATGAAAATATTGTTATTCCAATTGAACTATTATTATTATCATTATTATTATTTGTGTTGTATTTTCCCCAACAATTCATAGATTTTATGGACAATTCAGATTGATATACTACAATGGTTATTGTTCTTAGTTGGAATAGGAATTTCTGGGGCATTCCTAGTATTTGCTTTAATGCCTAGTATACGCAAAGAATATCCAAAGGTGAATGTATCTTATTTTATTGTTCACTTTTGTATTTGTTCACCTTTCTTTTGCTTATTAAATAGTTCTATGGGACAATATTTTTAATCAGATCCGGATAGCAGTGACTAACAGTGGAAACGCGGGTTCACGTTTCATCATATTTGGGACTCACTAGATGGATGTACCTGGACCTCTGTGTTGATGTTCACATCAGAATTCAGTGCTCTCTCTTTCAAACACTCAACGCTTTGTTCACTTGATAGTAATATTGAAGCAATGCTCTCAGGATTCACACGCCAAAAGAAACGAATGAGTATCGATCCTTAACATCAATAACTGGGGATATTTAAATCCTTGCAACTGAATTCGATCAACTGATAGTTTAGCTTTTTCCTGGTATCAACTTAATTCTCTTACATACGAAGTCCTAGGTTTCTGTTCTGCAATGAGATGAAAAATCTAGACTAATCTTCCATAATGTATATATATCTTTATTACAGAATGTGAATTCCTGGTTATTATAACATTGATGTTTAGCAATATATAAAGATAATTAACTTAAATCAACATATGTATTTGTACTCCGTGTTTAGAAAACTATAATTCAACATCTTTATAATAAATATCAAAGTCGATGATTACATCCCATAGGATTTAATCACAAAATAAGAGAAAGTAAATTTATTAGTTATCTAAACTAGTCACTAAAGTGAAAGTTGAATCGCGTAATTATCCGTTGTACAAGTTGCCTATTTCTTGGCTTGCACTCTATGGAACTGATACAGATTTAAACATTTCTGTGTGAGGAACAATAGCATCTTGTACTCAAATGTTTCCATCAGTATATTATATTTCTTTTGGAATCCAAAAAAATATTCCGCATCAAAGTTCCTAGAGGCCCAGAAACTGTAGGAAACGTCTTAGCCAATCATCGTTGAATGGAATCTTCTAGAAAATGCAGAATCATATGCCACCGCTTTGACTGGACATTTACTTATACTACTAATATACTGCTAATTCTAAAATCGTGTTTAAATCCATTAATAACGTCGCTTTTTTCTGTACAAAGACGAAGTTTGGATTGGAGCTTTTACTCGCAATTCGCACTTTCCAGTGTTCTAGATGACGTGTACAAGTGGTTAGGGATATCGGAATTCGCTAGGAAGACAGTTCAAACATGTTGGTTCATTATTCAAAAACGATACAATTTTTTTAATATTTATTTTAGACATGTTTCAAGGTTACATCACCGTAAATTACTAACAACCTATTTTTGTTTTCAGCTTGCAACACCAATAATGATCATTATAATTGTAGTACATTTTGGTTTTTCATTAGCTCTAATGGTAAGTTGTTAAAATTCATGTCGTTATTTTTAAAATAATTTTCAGAATATCAAATATTTAACGCATAATCATTCGTAGATAGATTTCCATTAAAAACACAGTTTACATTGTTATTATCTAAGGTCCTTTTACACTGTTATACTCCTGTTTATCGAATGTGTCGTAAACACTAAACAATAATATATATTTAAACTACACATTATGAAATCTACATTAAGCCTAAGCTGATTGATTAGTTATTAAATCTCTCAACTTTTTACCACTTAGTCATTGGTTTGAATCCGTCGCCATCTGATTCGGTTTGTGTAATATTACTAACCGTCATAGAGTGTTATTCAAAGCCTAGTATATAAATGTGATAAGAAAAAAGTGAATGAATAAGTAACGTGATTTTAATTGTGCCGAATCTTGGAAATCTCTATATGGAACTCAATTATTTTAGTTTTGTCGATTGGCCAGTAATTAAGCGTTTCAGCCAATAATGTATTTATTGTCTGGATACTGTAGCCGTATCGGTTACCTGTATTTGGTGATCGGTCTCGTGTATCGTGATGGCTAAATCAAGCTATATTGGTTGTAACACTTTCAGTTAGGGTCCTATCATACCAAGGAGAGTAGTAAAACTTAAATCGGAGAATGAAGTTGCTTTGTTGGCTGTACAATGGTGTGACGGCACTGAGGTGTTGTCAAGACGTTTTTACCCTCTTTTTCCATTATGAGGTGACGAGGTTACTTCAGATTCCGGTTGTCTATGGAGGAACGCCTTACTGCCACCAAACCTCAATTAGGTCACCACGATACAGAAACTGACCAGCACATCAAAGGATTAGCTGCGGTTGGGGTCGAAGAGTGAATCATAATAACGCCGATCTATTCACTTTTTATTTTCCTTTACATCTTGATTTTCGGTATTCCTTTTGGCATACATTTTCATCCGTTTTCTTGAATCCTTGTTTATAATATCCATTCTTACTCATTATCATTGCTACTTTATTATTTCGACTATTTTTCCATTTATCTTGTTATTTCCATCTCAATTTACTGTTATGGTCTGGCAACTTAAGTTAACGGACGTTTATGCCAGTGTCTACATTGATTATTATTAGATGACTGAAAAAGCCGCTTTTGGTGTTCTCGTTCATTTCTTGGAATTACTAAACTACAAAAGTGTCTACTGACAACCACATATTTAAGTCGTGGTTTTTTCGTCATTATTATCACCTGATTGGTACTTACACCCGTTACCCCTCGTGGAACATAGGCCGCCGACCAGACTTCTCCTTTCCAGTTGTTTCTAACTGCTACTCATTCGTTCGATGTCTACCTACAGTTTCCGGCGCAGTGTCGTTTGGTCTACCTCCTTTCCCTTTGCCTCGGGGATTCTGTGTTAGGGCTTGCTTTGTGATGCAGTTTGACGATTTCCGCCTTGTTTCCTATCCACCTTCAGCGTCTTTCCCTAATTTTTTCTTCATTTGGAAGCTGGTTTGTTCTCTGCCGGAGTAGGCTGATGGTGTTTGACCAACGAATGTTGAGTATCTTGCGTAGAATACTATTTATAAATAGTACCTGATTGTTAGTCGAAGTTTAATTAATGGTAATCTCAGTTTGTTCTTAACAGCATATTGTTTCAGTCCTTAACCATTTCAACTGTTTATTTCTGTTATTCATTTTCACTCGTTTACTAAATGATGCTTTTGCATTCCTTATTTTTCCTCCTATAGATTGCCTTCTTTCATGGATCTCCACCTGTACTAGATCCTCTATCTCATACTGGTTATATACATCAACAAAATGTTTTGGAAAATAATAAACAACTGTCAAATATCACTGTATTAACTACTAATAAGCCAGTATATCATTAATCCATCTGTTATTTTAGCTTGAGCACTGCTATTTTAAGTAGGAAATTTGTTAAACAACGGTAATACTATTATTACTACTAACACTACTATTAACTGTTATAAACCTTTGTACAGGTGCAGTTGATTCCTTTCTTTCTGTTTGTTTATTACTGCTTCTGTATTGTACTATCATTTCCACAATATATAAATGCATGCATAACACTGTGATATTCATTGTGTTTCATTTTTATTTTAACTATTTTCAAAATATACGGATTACATAGTAATTGAGGTCACGTTTTCTATTGAGTAGTTGAAAATGAGTAATTTAATGACTGGATGTTATATAATTCATTCGGAATATTATTATTATTATTATTATTATTATTATTATTATTATTATTATTATTATTATTACCACTACAAGGTATAAAAAGATGTGAATAATAATCGTTTAGTTTTAGTTATTTGAACACATAAATATTGGTACAAGGGGACACCAAATATATATGCACCACACAATAATAATCGAGTATTATGACATTTGTTTATTAGAGGAAGTAACACTCATTTTGGGTTACATTTATAAAATGTTTTGTTACTTTTCAAGTGTGTCTTAATATTTCATAATAAAACGTAAATAGTATCTGTATTTGAAAAGTACAAGTTAATTGATATTTTACAACCTTATGTATATGTGCTTACTCAGGAAAAGTAATATTTGTTATATACTACTAACTTTCAGTGTTTTACTTAGTACAATTAACGCTAATGAATAATTGGTGTGAAATATACATTGAAATCATACACATAAGAAGTATTGAAACTATCGAATCTTGTACTGTTATAAAACTTCGATGCTTACATGTCTTCGCAAATATCCCTTATTGTTATCCTGTTATTGACTCAATTGGCTGTCAAATCATTATACTATAATGATGAATAGTTGATATCATCCGGTCTTAGTTTTATTTATTTATTTGAACACAAATATTGGTACAAGAGGGCACCAAATATATATGCGCCACGCCATATTTGTGTGTGTGGGCTGTGATACTGCTCGGGTGCCCAGACCGAAGCAGGTGGTTTTCTTAGGGGGCCACTCCTCGAGCCTTGGACCTAAAGGTCTGATCCACAAGGCAGTCGGGCATCGTAAGGAGATGCAGCCCCATGGTGGCCGGTGACCAACGATTGGTTCATACGCCATTTGTTCCTTCAGGATACTGGAGACCATGTGCACCATTGGTTTGGGATCCGGCTAAAGCGCCGAACATTCGCTTTTCGTCCTCTCATTTTCGTAAACAACGCCCCCGCCACGAGAAGGCAGTGAGTAGGACTTCCCTGGCAGAGGCTGTATACGCTTGGCCGTGTGAGAGCATTTCTAGAGGGAGCAGTAGCTCTAGAGTTCTAGTGAGAAACCCTGACCGCTATAGTCCAACTATGTCTAGTGTAAGACAGTTGCCCACCAAATACATTAAAAGATGGTTACTCGACATTACAATTTGATTGAAGTTAAACATGTAAGCTATTGAATTTCAGCCCAATAGTCTACAAGTTAAGCGTTCGTACTGAATACGGAAGGTTTTAGGCTCGAGACCTGCTGTCAGGGTTTTAGATACACATTACTGATGAGTCTCATGCTAGGACGAAGCAACTTTCCAGTGATTCCCGGTTTCCAGTGACTTTTTTAACTGGGATTGTTCCGTGATATTTTAACTATTAAATTGGAAAAGTCAGGATGATTTTACATGATTAGAGCAAAGGGAAATTGACCAGTAGATTTTTAAGTAGTAAAATTATTTTAAGAGTAATAGTTGTCAGATAGTTTTAATAGAAAAAAAAACACTAATCGGTATCCACTGAAAATATCACTACTTTGATTTTGTTAAAACTGAAAACTATAGTAATAAAATGACGGGGGATAGGTTTGTATGATGCAGAAAAAAAGGGAGAACCGATTACTGGTGAAGATTTTATTCATCCTCCTGAAGGAAAGAAACACGACAGCAACTTATTGGACAAAATACAATCATTCATGTTCAGATTTTACTGATATTTGATGATTAATCAACAAATAGCATACATAACTGGAAAAATGTGGATGCAACTGGAACTGCACAGCACTGGGCAAACACCACACTGAATTAATATAAACAAGTACTGATGTCATGTTGAACAGATATCACTTTGAGTTAAAACGAATTTCATACTAAGTATCGCTAAGATTGTAACATGGTTTCACGTTTATCGTATCTCAGTGGGTGCTCTTCAGGAGTGTCGACCTGCGACTGTACACAGGATCAAACCTTTTACTTCCAGTTCTCTTGTCTAACATGATGTCACTGAGTTGGAATGCAATATTAGACTTTTTTGGTCTCAGTCAATCTATGATATTAATTTGTCCGTATCCGATGTTATTGTTGAGCTGCTAGCTCACCCTCTTGTTGACTAACTCTAAATTAGGTTTTTCCTCTTGAACTTCCATAAATCTATGTGGAATGTCGTTACTATTGACGATTTGATTATTAATGAAATGGTTTGTTCGGGTTTTGTTATGATTTAAAGAAAGTTGTGAATGGTTCATTATGTTATTGGACCAATTAGGACAATTCATTTAACCACCTCTTCCTTTGTAAATTCAGGTTACTTAAGAATGTATATAGTGATCATTTTACTAAATATTAATTCTTCGCACTTGTGAGCCAAGTCCTGTATTTTAATATTCCATTGCTCAGTGAAATATAAGCATCTAATGTTCATATAAGTATTCGTGTATTATTAATACAAATAGAGTTCTATGATCATATTAATCCACTCCTTCATTTCAGCTCGTTTCAGCTGTTTATTACTATTCACTTTACCAACCAAACAAAATTCATTCGTTTTCACTAACATTTGTAAGAATAGAATCTAACTCGTCTCAAGAACTTTGATATATTGGATTGAGAATAAGGGGATTGTGGCTAATGGTGAAATCCAGGATGTATGTTTCTCCCTATTACTCGTCAGCTGGATATCGAGGCTCTCCCAACCGTTGTTGCTACCTTGACGTGGTAGTCGGGCTTGGCTATCGTGATGAAGCAACCGAGCTATACTGGCTGGAACAACCGTTCCTCAAGGTCTTACCACGTCAGACAGGTCGGTTGAAGAGCGGTAAGACTAAAAGCAACAAACCCAAGGTCCGAAGGCGAAGTCGTACTGCTGACTGTACAAAGGTGTGACAGCAGTAAGGTGTTTCCTTCAGACAACTAGCATGACAGCGATGCTACCTTCCCACAAGGAGGGGTGGGGTTAAAAAAGGTTGACCCTAAAAATGCACACCTCGCCTTATCCTACGGATATCCGTCTTCGGCGGTAAGGTCTCAACAAGTACGGAGCTAACACAAAAACTACCCATAAAAAGGTCGTGTGTGACCGACCTCAAGCAGTTGTCCCTTGGGCACTGCGGTCACGCTCCCAGGTCACTAAGACCACCTCTAATACAATTTCCTTTTCAGGTACCTCCTGGACAACCCTTCCACGGTATGGGCAACCGGGAAGTGATAACCGCCCTCATACCTCTAACAGCACTCAAGACCACTGTATTCACGATCAACCTCCGACTTCGATTCCTATTATTCCTCCTACATCGACTTTCACCTCTGAACTTCCTCTTTCGGCTTCCTCCTCAAGTGTCACCATAGCCAATGATTCTACTGCTCAAAACACTGTCCCAGGTCTACTGAAACCTCGCTCCAAACTACACATTGGAGCCTTCAACGTACGAACCCTATGTCGAATCGGTCAGCAGGCTTCCTTGGCTAAAACCCTAGAATCTCTTACCATTGATGTATGCTGTGTCTCTGAAACACGCATACAGGATTTCAGTGTGGTCATTCACTTGACCTCACCTCGGCAAAACGGAGAGCCAACGGGATACACTCTCAGTGTACCTGGTGACCCGATGGCCAGTTCTCGTGGACTGGCAGGAGTAGGCATAGCACTAAGCATGAGGGCGGAACAAACACTGCTAGAGTGGATCCCCGTCAACAGTCGTCTATGTGCTGTTCGGCTAAACGGCTCCGTAAGAACTCGGAAGGATAGGGACACACGTCGTTGCCTTTTCGTCGTTTCTGCCTACGCTCCCACTGACTGCAGCTCAGATGAAGTGAAAGATGGATTTTACAGAAAGCTATCTGAACTTCTTCAGAGAGCTAAACGGTCAGACATAATACTCGTAGGGGACGACTTTAATGCTCAGACAGGTAGCTTAAACCAAACAGAAAGGCATTTAGGTGGATATTTTAGCATTCCGGCACAGCGAACAGATAATGGTGACCGTCTGCTGCAACTGTGCTCAGACAATCGCTTATTTTTAGCAAACACAAATTTTAAGCATAAGGAGAGACATCGTCTAACGTGGCGACCGCCTGCACCAAGCCAACGATGGACTCAAATAGACCATATTGCCATCAGTCATCGTTGGAGAGGGTCGGTACAAGATTGTCGCTCATTCTGGAGTACCTGCTTGGACTCCGACCACGCCCTAATACGGGCACGCATCTGCTTGCGCCTCACTGGACGCAAAAAAGCCACAGTAAAAAGACCCATTAGAACCGAACTGAGTAGCGAGGAAACCAAAAGTAGGTTCCAAGAACAACTGAGGTCACACTTGGTAGTTCTGAAAACGAGGTTGACCCAGATGTTGCTTGGAAAGATATACCGGTCGAGTCGGGGCTTATGTTGAACTGTCATCTGCTTTTGCAACCTCAAGTGATGTTCGTCAAGGCTGTCCAGTTTCCCCATTTTTGTTTAACTTCATCATAGACCTATTAATGGAAATAACATTCTCGTCGACTGAATTCTCGGGTATTGATCTCCTTCCAGGAGGACCACTTGTCGACATAGAATACGCAGATGATATAGTCCTTTTTGGTGAAGACGCCGATAAAATGCAGTCTTTTGTAGCACTGAGAAACAATGCCAGAATGTTTGGAATGTGCTTCTCCCCATCTAAATGCAAGTTGTTGCTTCAGGACTGGCCTGCGTCAACACCTGAACTAAGGATAGGAAGTGAAGTAGTCGAACGCGTTGACAACTTCACTTATCTTGGAAGTCTGATCAGCCCTAATGGGTTGGTATCTGACGAAATCTCAGCACGGATTCGAAAAGCTCGCTTGGCTTTTGCCAACTTACGTCACCTATAGCGAAGGCGAGATATCCGTCTATCAATAAAAGGACGAGTATACTGCGCGGCAGTCCGTTCTGTTTTAATTTACGGCAGAGAAACATGGCCATCAAGAGTAGAAGATACTCATAAGTTACTAGTATTTGATCACAGATGCCTTAGAAATATTGCTGGCGTCTGCTGGGATCACCGGGTAAGTAATAGGGAGGTTAGACGCAGGGTATTAGGGAATGATGGTAAATCAGTTGAT